TCCTTTAACGTATCTAATTCGCTTTTAAATTTACTAATGTTTTCCATTTGTTCTTCTTGTTTCTTTTGTTGTTCTTGTATTGCTGCCATCAAGTCTGCTAAGCTGTAGTTTGATTTGCCGCTTCTCGTTTCCATTTTTTTTCGTTCCACTTCTGACACCAATTTGTTACGTCTCCGTTTGTTAATTAACTTTCCGTAACTTCGTTCCGACGAAACTTTAGCGACACAAGTCCTTACTTAATAAAACTGGTTTATTCTTTCTGAATATAACTTTACCGATACACTTATTTTCAACATTCGCTCTTTTACAAACGTTTTAACAACGAACGTTAACTTCAACAATGCTTCCTGACTGAAGTTCAATTACTCACTACCTACACACATTGTCGTCACGTTGTGAGCGTCTTACATATATACCAGACAAACATATATCTAGTAAATGCTATGGCATTCACGAAGGAACAAGATAGTTCTAGAAACGTGGCGTGACACAAGTCACGTGACCTCGCTAACGCAACAGTAGTTTTGGTTTAATGGCGCAAAGCACTAGGGCTATCTGGAACAAAGATGTCAATAAACAGAATATATGTAGTTTAGATGTATGCTTACAAAAATTATATGAAGATATATAGTTCTGTTTAACATTTACAATTCCAAATACTTTTACGATCGACACAAATAATCGGTTAATGAGAATTAAGAACTTGCTATTACAGTGAACTGTCTAACACTGTCCAAGTTGATTGGGTATTATGACAAAATTTTCAACATCCATTGATGTAATATCAGCTCTGCAGTGGATATTTATCTTGTATAAACATTACAATGAAATAAAATTAAAATATTTGAACGACGTCATTCGTAAAATTAAGTTTATTTTGTATGCTTGCGTTTTCTGTTTGGTCTAAGTGTTTTTTCATCATTTTTTGAACTAAATATAGACTAGTGGAAAAACGTTTAATAAATTTAAAGAACATAATAAATGAGAAACGATTCAGCAGAGGTTCGTCAAGTTCCATATGGTCAACATGTGATATATTTAAAGTAAAATAGTGGTCGTATATTTTGTGAAAAATGATCTTTACATTTATGTTTTCTAACCCAGAGTAAGGTATAAGGTTTCAGTGTTTTTCGTACTTGGAAGACTGGATGTTACACGTTATGATGATATTGATACTGTTACGTCTCCGTTCGTTAGTTAATTTTCCGTAACTTCGTTCCGACGAAACTTTAGCGACACAAGTCCTTTCCTAAATAAAACTGGTTTATTCTTTCTGAATATAAATTTGCGATACACTTAATTTCAACAGTCGCGCTATAATTCTCAACGTACGTGCTCGACTCCAACAATACTTAGTTCAATTACACATTAGCATTGACTGCAGTTCAATTACTCATATATTGTTCCGTCACGTTGTAACCGTCTTATATATATACCAGACTACCCCCAATCTAGTAATCTCTCGATAATTCACGAAGGTTCGAGAAGGACGTGGCGTGATACTAGTCACGTGACCTCGCTGACGCAACACTGCCCCCTCCTTAGTATTGTTCGTCCCGAACAATAGCCACTTACATTAAACCAATAACAATTAACAATAACTTAATTAAATGTACAGAATTACAAAGACAAAATTACAATTCAACAAAGTCTCTTTCTTCATCAGGAAATGTTCTATCGTCGATAACAGTCACATTAGTGGTAGTAAATTCATCAAAAGCTTCACCGTTTCCCTTCTCAAAACTGAGTAGAGTTTCTTCTTTGACGGTAGCTTCTTCAGGTGGCACGTCTTCA